AAACCCCCCCCCCCCCCCTTCCCCTGTGCCTTTGCCATGTGTATCATAATTTTTTGGAAAATTCCGCGTCTTTATAAAAAACTATGACAGAGTCCTTAGGCCTGAACGTTTTGTGGAAGAATGCAGCACAGAGGGGTGTGGGGGGGTATGGAACACCACCCAGCTCACACACCCCATTACCATTTCCAGAAAGTCTTTAATACCTAATGTTATACAGAAACTCTTGCTAAAACCTTGTTTCTTTTAATATAATTTTCCCGAGCGCTCAAAGATCAAATGAGGTCATTGAACTTTAGTGTCACCGGGAATAAAATGGGGGATACCTTGAAAGTGAAATTTGTTACAAATAACTACCGAAACATTTTTTTTAGTAGTTTGATCAATAGAAGTCGTCGATGTAATGGGTATCCCACCCACAATGGAGCACTGTCTGTATGTCTGCCTACCTACGTATTCTCTTCCATTGATTGCATAATGCTATACTTAGTAATGACGCCATAATACTAATCCTAAGTACATACTATACAAAAAATTTTTAACAATTGTAGGACCGAATGATTAATATACTTATATTAATCTTCACCCAAATCAAGTGGTTTTTCATTAACAGTAAAAAAAGATCAATGAAAAAGGTAAGTCAATATAAAATCAATCAACTGAACTAGCCGCCTTTATTTTGTATATGGGCGGAGTTTCAGTCAAGGCTCCTCTATCAACCCAACCCAATTCATTCAAGCCGTACAAGATAAATTTCTAATTTATTGTAGCTTATCTTGCATTATGCAATCATTTGTTTCTATTAGTTTTGTCCTTAGACCATATAGTACATGGACTGCTAATTGTAACTAAAATATGGTCAAGGACATCGCCTGGGTATGTGAGTTTCAGGGTAAACGAGTCTGTCCGAAGTTGTCCGATGAGACACGATTTGAGACTGTCAACCTATAAATTAACAAACGTCAATTAATGAATCGCCTAGATATCCCAAAAAAAGCAAACTTATTCTTATTTGTGGACGTATAGCAAATAATAAAGAGTATTTAAAGCTTCGCGTACTACGCGGTTACTATAAAGCTGTTCTTTAAGCGATCCTAGTGGTGTTTACACGACTTTAGTTTACCCTGAGATTCACATACCCACGACTACAGTGCCCTCTATCCGTGACCATCCATTTTGTATTGAAAGCATAGGGCGAATAGCAGTCCATGTACTATATGGTCTAAGGTTTTGTCATTGCTATTCTTACTGTCAACTTAAAAAATGACAGTCAATTTGAGTTGACAACGGTCACATCACGCCATCCTGATTTTGCATCAAAATACGTACTCATAGATTCGTCCATTGAGAAACTTGGTGTAATACAACTGGTTGCCGCAAGTGGCCGCCATGAAGGGCGACTGGGAATGTGCATCGCTCGAGACCGAAACATCGTACTTACTGCCGACCTTAAGCTTCACTTGAACATTACGAAGTTCGTGGTTTTCCGTATTAAACAAACCGAAGCGTATGGATTTGTTCGACAACCACGAAACTAGAAACCTGCAGTGTGTCCCGTCGCTGATTTGATCGACGAATTGAAACGACTCGATTTGGGCGTCGTTGGGAAGGCGCTAGAAAACTGGGATTACTTACGTATGTACCGAAGGCGTCAGCGTACCTGCTTTAGAAGGCGAAGTCCCACATCGGCTTTCCAAGATATCAGCTCGCCTCGTACCGAGCAGGCCGTGACGACCTCCACATTTTTGAAGTGGTGCACGCAGAAGTCGGCCACGGAATCGCGCAACCCCTTGAACGACTTTAAACGTTTCGCAGTCTTTGTGTTGTACGACACGATGGTGTTTTTCCAAGCCACATAAATTGTACTGAAAAATTGGAGGTTAGGTGAGATGACGAAAGTGATTTAACTCACCAGCCGTCTAGGGAGAACTTTGGCGGTTTATTTACAAAGGAGCCGCCTCCTTTGAAATTAATTTTGGGTTCCATTTAGTCAAAATTTACATTTTGTGGAGCACGTGCGTTTGATGTTTATATTAGTCGCCAATGTTCGACGACCCGAATTCGTGATTCGTGAATTATGAATTTTATGGTTTCGAGCGGTAAATTTGAAAATGAAATCAGTGGTTCTCAAAGAGGATCATACTCTGAAACGTTTCTATGAATGCAACGTATTTAACTGCAATGTTAAGACCTAATTTTATATTAGATTCTCCTTCTTTAATCTCGTTTTTCGCCTTTTCGGGGTTTAAATACTCATCCTGGCCTTCCGATCGGCAGGTCCAAAACAATAATCTATCCCAATGACACCGGCAGTTCAATTTCAATCCCAATTTCATAATTTAAACCTTTAACATAAATAAATAACATCTATGCAAAAGTAAACAAGAATTTGAGGTTACATTTCGATAAATACAAGAATCGACTTTAACGATGTTTCAAAACAGTCAATGCGAAAGTTTAATTACTTTCTTACGATTATGTTCTCCTGATAGTAGGGATAGCGATTATCATGGTCTATATATAAAAAAAATGGCCGGTTTTTTTCTGAAAGTCGAGTATGCGGGGTTGCCTACATATCAGGGTGCATACTTATGAAAAACAGTAAAAATGCAAATTTTCAAGCTATACGGTATTTCATTGAATCCAAAATGCCACTTATAACACCAAAAACCCTTATTTTATACAGAGCTGTCACAAATCGTTTAAAAAACGATTTAAATCAAAGATCAAAGATGCATTTCATTTTAACAAATGATTTAAATCAAAGATACTTTTGTCAATAAGAAAGTATTTAGATAATAAATCATTTTGAGATTTAAATATTTTTTGTGATTTAAATCTTTTTAGAAAGTATTTAAGATACTTTCAATGTATTTAATTCATTCAAAAAGGTTTAAATCTAATTTTGTTAATTTAAATCACGTATATAGATTTAAATAATGTAATGATGTAATGATTTAAATCTTTTCCGATGATTTAATCGTTTTGTGACAAAAGGTTTGTAAAGGATTTAAATTCAATAAAACTGATTGGTCTGATGATCTTGCTCGAAACCCATTCATCAATATACTTACCATTTCTACCGTATTTTATTGTTATTATTTATTAAATTAAAATATGTACCTATTTTTTTGCGAAAGAACTTTTAAAAAACCAAGACATCGTCAATCTCAGTAGGTATACTCGATTTTGTAATAAATACATATAAACGTCTACCGAAATAAAACCCGGGTTAATTAGCTTAGTCAGGTTGAAATAAATCAAGAGAATTTGTTAGTATGTATTAATTAAATCGTCTCTAAAAGATTTAAATCACTCGGAAACGATTTAAATCTTTTCGAAAGTATTTAAATCTTTTTAAAAGATTTAAATCATTTTTTAAGTTCAAAATCAAAGATAGTTTTCATGAAGATTTAAATCTTAAATCAAAAATCATTTTCCGTAAAAAGATTTAAGATCAAATGATTTAAATCGAAAAAAGTATTTAAATCATAAAAAAGATTTAAATCTTATTAAAAGTGACAGCTCTGATTTTATAGGACTATATGCGTTACACATTATAATTTTCGTAATAATTACGCGCGTAAACAGCAATCAATTTTTATTATGTAAAAATTGGCAACACGAAACTCTAGTGACCGGTGATATTTGTCGCAAGTTATGTATTATGTACGCACTACATAAATGTAGTAAAATATAGTAAAATTAGACAACAGCAGTACGTTTTTTTTAAACTAGAAGTTATGCCAAAATCATAAGGCCAAAATACATAGATAGCAGATACCTATATAAATAGATATATAAATACGTTTATTTTATTTTATGAAAATGGATATGTAATTTTGAGGATTGGAAAATGATGTGAAGGCATCTGAGAGAAGGTTTTAAAGATTTTGAAGACAGCCTCAGGCGGTCTCGACGGAAACTGAATTATATGAAAAGTACTTCCCAAGTATGAAAAATGCACTCAATGTTTTTGTTTTAAATGACAGTTCGGTGAATTGTTTTCTAACCTCATTTAATCCATAGTTCCAAATTTAAATCATGTAAACCATTTATATGAAAAATTGCGAAAATGATGGCAAAATCTGAAATTGAATTGAAAAATTTCTTCATTTTTAGTTCCTCCTATGAATCTAAAGAAGGAGAGGTTTGTCGAAGTCTAATTATTCATCGTGTTCACCTCAAGTCTTGTAGGAATACAACAAAGTGCTATATTACTATCCACCCACCGATGACATAAACACGCAAGTTAATAACGTAGGTCTAGTAGAGGCCATAATTAAATTTACAGGGTAGCGGAACTAGCCAATGGTTTTCGTTATTAACATTTCAATTTTAGGAATTTCAAACCGAGCGGGCCTTTGAACTCTCTTCATACGCTGAAGAAACGACAGCTGTACTTCGAGCCAGAGCCAAATTACTGGATGGTGATTGTGAGTGGCTATTTGTATATAGCTGACAGTATAGAACTGAAGTTTTAGACGATTAATCTTCCCTTCATCAACAAAGGTAGTAACGAATCTACGGTAGTCGAGTACATTGAAGAGGACGTGCATGATACAATTTATAAAGCAGTTTTGAAGCAGGCGTATGCTATGTATCGTTTGTTTTCGGGCACGTACACAAGCACCGAGCGGGAATATTCCATAACCGCTCTTCGGAACAAGTTCGAGCATTTCTACACAGCCGTAAGCGTACCTTTCGCACAATCGAATTGTAATAATCTCGCTTTAGTATCTGAAAACCTTAAATCTAAGCAACTGCGATATATTAAACGTATTTTCGGGCATACACTTCCTACCGTTAGATAAGCAGAACTTTCTCAACGTGCAGTGCTTTATCAACGCTTTAGAATGCAACTATCCCATTATTGAGTATGTGTCGTTTTTGTTTAACGACAGCCTAATTTGGTGAGTCGATTTATGAAGTTAAGACTGAAGGGTAGTAATTCGGTCAGTCATGGAAATGACGTCATTGTGTTGAGGTCGAATTAGGGTCAAATAGGCGTACTAGATTTTCTCTCGCTCGGGTGGAAAGGGTACTATACTGCATTCATTATAAGAAGGTAGTAGATGGCGCTGTGTTTGAAGGTAAGCACACACAGGAAAAATATAAAACGGCACCAAGTTATTGTAAAGTAGAAATATCCACTGCAAACAGAAATAAATCTTTGAGATTAACAGATAATGGCATTTTCAAAGTATTAGTCTGTAAAAAAATCAGCGTCATTCATCCAACCGTTACGGCCTCGGTTACGGCGTTACCTAGTTGTCCATAGAAAGTTCAGGAAAAACCGACTAAGAATTGTTTTTTACAGTTATCAAATGTTTGCGATTTTTTTATAGTTATTTACATAAGTCATGAAAGCGGTCGTTTACATGACGCGGAGGCTTATTGAAAAGTACGAGGACGCGCAACGTCCGAGTATCTCTTTAATGCCTCCAAGTCAGGTGGACTCACTTTCATGACATATTATGTATAAAATTTTACCTGAAACCGCAACATGTAGATAACTTTTCCAAATTAAATTATTCAAATGTGAAATTTTGATACCTAATCACGCATGCTAAAATCACTTTATTTAATTGTTTCCATAGAGATTTCAAAATAATGAAAACAATCAGTGTCATTTTTAATGCAGTTTGCAGTTTATCCTTTGTACTTCTCAACTATACAGTCTTAATAACTAGGTACAAAAGCAGGTATCAGTGAAGAAGAGTACCTACGCGAGACGTTGTTATAATATAGCTGAAGCTGCGGCCGCCGTAGTGCAATGTTCGCTCCCCACAAAGTCAAGAAAGAGGTACGAAAAGGCGTACAAACCTTTTGGTGCAAAACTAAAGGAATAATTACTTCCACGCATATTCCATTAATTGTTCGTAATTAAAAAACCATTATCTTTTGTGTAGGTATATTAATATTTAAAAATATCCACATAGTCTGCATTATAATATTATCCAATCGTTGATTGAATAACTTATTCAATGAACGATCTAATTGTTATTTTGCATGTACTAGGACTGTAATGGGAGTCAGGCAAAAATATTACAGTACTAGTCAGGTAAAGATCAACTTTCTAATGTCAAAATAGTCCTGAAATTTAGATTTTCTTGACGGTTTCAGGTAAACTATTTTTTTAAGAGGTATTATCAACGTTCATTTGGTGTATAACTTATTTTCTCAAAAAAGAACCATTTAAAATTGGTACCGCATCTGCGCCTTAAGTCATATGACCTGAGGTGGCAGACATGCCAAAGTGGAACTCCGTTGGTTAAAATTTTGATCATCCTCGGTCAGTGGAGTGCGAGCTAGATCTCCCACTATAATAGTAAGGGAAGGCTTCTTAGCGCGATGGTGACACTAACTTGGGCGTATTCCTTATACGTCTCGGTGAGTGCTATAAACGCATTGACGTTTTCGCCGCAAAATGAGCTGTGGAACGGGAGGCGTTTCCACTTTCCTTCGGTATTGCGGGCGGATTGTTCTTTAATCCCTGCATAAGCGATTAACGAGGCGGGACTAGACTGAGTAATTGGGGAAAGCATGAACCGACTCCCTACTTACAGCGTCACGCGCACCTTGCGAGTATTATATAGTTTTGTGCCCTTCCACTGTCACGGAGTGACGTCATTCGCATGCACGAAGTTATCTCTTCAGTCTTAGAATCGCGAGTTGAGATCTCTTCAATTGTAGGAGCGGTATCGAGCCGGACGACACCCAAATCATTTACCAATACTTAATCAGCACTTTACTTCCGGCGAACATCGAGACCGAACTCCAAGGCGGTTCGATACCCAGAAACCCTTCCTCTCCTTTCGCCTCCCTACACTACGGCCGTTTCATAACGGGTCCTACGAACTTGAAGACGGCGCACACGATCGGCAAAGTGCCGAAGATCTTCTTAAACAACGAGGCGAACCCCTCCGTTTACTATTTCATAGTGTACAGGGCGCTTAACGCCACAATTTGCCTCTTTGTTAACGGTACATTATGGCGAACGTGTGAGTACGGCTTAACATTCGAGTTTTAGGTGGCGTCGATTTAACAGTCGAGCTCTTCAAGGAGCTGGACGCGTTTATGGGCCAGCGCTTGTCGTCGATCGCGTCCGATATCGGCGAGTACTGCACGAGGAGCATAATTCCGCCGAGTAGTTCCGATACGTCGCCCCGTTTCATCTACTTTAACAAGCTCAATTTGGCGTACAAGAGCACGATCCACTTGGACAATCGGCAGAGCGGCAACGTCTCGTGCGGTAAGGAGTTGGTGCAAATCATGGCCGATATGAACAGCAGGAAGGAGTCGCTGTCGTTTGCCGGGGAGACGATCGTGAAGACTATGAACGATTACTGGGTCGTCGGGAAGGTGTCGAATTTGCGCGAGTTTTACGTCGCCTTGCAGCATAAGAACGCCAGCTTGATCGATATTAGTGGTAAGCCGGCGGTTTTACTTGTGATAAGCTCACTTGTGATGTGTCGTTTAGGGTTGTTAGGCAAGATAGTTGGCAATAGCTTGATTATTTGGGAAATTTATGATATGATGGATGTCATAGATTGTGTAAATAGTATCCGACCACAAAATTGTATTAATGTCGCGCAAGGTTTGTATGTCTTGAGTTTGCTGTTCTTGCTTTAATAAGGGGCGTAGCTAAGAGAGACAGGTTACAGGAGGTACAGACCACCTGTTCCCCTTTTTGGATACGTTCTTCGTCTAACAGCATCTTGCCAAGTTTTATTTTTAAAGGTGTGTGGTCAATATGTGCCTTTGCTTGTTTCTCGGGGGGGGGGGGGGGGGGGGGGAACATGGGGCTCATAAATGCACTAGGCGTAACGAGGATACACTTCCCCCCAACCTACTCCCTTTCTTTACATATCCCTCACGCTTTCATCATGCTTTCTGCACGTTACGCTCAAATCTACCCCTAAATCTAAATGGTAAATGGTAGCTCGTAAACAGAATGATATCGTAGCTGACACTGGTGACATAATAATAAGGTCGCAACGGCCTCCTTACAATGATACGGAGAAAATAAATCCTGAAATTGCAGATTGGAACATTCGGACGGTAAAAAACGGTGAATGTGCATGCACTTATACTAGTTTTGGAGTTACGTATTCCAACAATCAAGTTCAATCCCTTTTTGTTCACCAACGGCGACACATCTGAATTTATTTGTAGGGAAAAATAACCCAGCGCGTTTAATTGATCTGTCCTTGACCGAATACGACTCCAATTATGTAATGAAGACGCGCGTATTTCACACTTCTTCTGGTTGCACGATTATTCTCTTTAGTATCAGGCGGAAAAACGGAAAACTCCAGGGAGCGGGCGGTCGGTCGCTGGCGAAAAATCTAAAACAGAATTACGGCACACGGAAACGGTAACGATTTCGCAAAGCGAGAAAACAAATCCCCTTAATGCCTAAAATAGGTTCTTGTCTTAGTGTGTCTCGTGTGGTTTAAAAACGCCCCATTTTCAGTTAAGCATTTATTGTGCTCCAGTGCTTGTATCATCTACAATCAGTCACAATGTAAGTACCAGTTTGATTTTTATTTTATTTGTTTTACAATTATAATCCACTGTCGCGACCTTGCACCATAAAACAAGGTCACGCCTTAGTTATCGCAACCGAACCACGAGTAAAACGGGGGGGGGGCACCGGCGGGAAGGGGATACGGTTTCGGTATTGCGTATTTCAAATCTCTGACACGCCTTTTTTGTCTCGTACACCATACCCTTTAAGCTTTCTTCCCCCTAGTTTAGCACTTTCGCCCAACTTTCGATATGTTTGCTTAACATTTCTCTTTCGGCATGTCATCGTCACGCTTTCCCTGTACCTGTACGTATTTACGTTTTCTACTCCCTTTTTTTACGCCTTTTGCCAAACTTCTTTTTCACGCGCGCTTTAACTACCTTTTACACTTCATGGTTCCTACACGACGCAAGGAACGCCTCCTCCATGCGAACACCACAATTTCGGCTTCATACTCTTAAAGTTGCTTTACATCTCCCATCATTTATTTAATTTTTCTTGCGCTTCTTTTAAATTGCTCCCCACTGTTTTACACCTGATACCCGCTTCAAACATCCCTTGCGCTTTTTGCATACATTCCTTGCGCCCCAAGTACCTTTTCTTGACCTTCCTTGCCACCTTAAGGATCGCGTGCACTTCATTTGCATTTTCTTCACTCCTCTATCGCGCCTTTTAACTTTTCCTCTCCGATTATTTAGCACTTTCTTGACCCGCATTATGTTCGCTTCAAACCCCTCTCACATTCAGAACGTCTCCCTCACCTCTTTTTTACATCGGCTCCTCCCATTTGTCACTTGGTTAACATCTATGGAGTACCCCCCCCCCCTCCTCAAGGGAAAAAAGACAGATTCAATCCTTCATTGCGGTTCACAGCGGTTACAAGATAATCGTGTACTACGGGTTTGAATGTTTCATACACCCCCCCCGCTCCTCCCCGTGCTACATTCTCCCTCGAAACGTTCAGCTATACACATTCTTTCAAAAAAATATTGGGTTAGCGCTAAGGACTCTAGATCTCTTAGGCAAGAATGTAGAATTGGGGGGGGGGGGGAATCAAAAAACCCTCAGGGAAAAAAGACAAACAATCTTCATTTCGTACATCGGTCATAAGATATTCATATGCTGGGGAGTATTCTATACGCCCCTGAGCTGAACGTTCTGAGGGCGACGTAGCACCGAAGGGTCTGTGGGGGTATCTCCCCAGTATACGACTACGATCTTATGGCCATTGTAGGACAATGAAGATTAATTCGTATCCCCCAGACCTCCCGCTTCTACACTTGCCCTAAGAGATTTAAACTCCTTAGCGCTAACTCAACATTTTTTGGAAAGAATGTTTTATTTATTTTTTATTTATTAATTTGTTTATAGCTGAACGTTCCGAGGGGGAAGTATTCCTACGTTCTTCTTCGAAACGTGCAGCTATAAAGACTTACCAAAGAATGTGATAGTTACAGAAAATTTAGAACAGGGGTATTCCACCCTCCTCCCATTTACCCTACTACAACGGTCATAAGGTATCCTCCCAGGCTCTCTCTCTCTCTGTCTTTCTCTCGCTGATACTCCCTCCCCCCATCATAGCGCTGCTTATACAATCTTCCCAAGCATTTTTGAAACCTCCCTTAAATCTCCTTTTTGATAGTTCACATGTCTCCCTAGAAACCACCCTTAGGTAAGTCTTATCAGTATGATCAGAGGCATGTTTGTGTGATTGAACACTAATTCTTAATACTAACTACTTTACCATTAATGTTTGTAGAGTATGTTTAACTGTAATATTGGTTTTATTTGCAGATGAAGTGAAGAAAATTTGTGACACGGAATTGAAAGGAATTTTTTTTCATCCAATGTAATAAACGAATACTATTGTGATCTGAATTTTTTTCCACCACCGAACCCGTTCCGCTTGAAAAACCTTGACCTACTGCATACTCTGGCAGGAAACAAAACAAAACATTCCTTTTAAATGATAAAAACTCTTCTGAATGACGCCTAATTTTATGCAACCAAAATAACTTCTTGAAACAAATAAAGATCTGGCTGTGATATTAATTATTAGTTGGTCTAAAGTAATTCCCATCTCTGCCACAAATGAAAAATTCACCTCAACCGAGGTTTGAACATCCGACCTCCGGATTTATAGCCCAACCCTCTACCATTGAACCACAAGTCGGATTTTCGTTGCATAAAGCTAGGCGTCCTTTAGAAGACTTTGTATCATTTAAAAGTAGACATAGGAAATCCCTATGTCTACTTCTAGATGAATATTATTGTATATTATATAAGGTGGACCTGAATCTTGCTGTAAAATGGGTTGCCTAACGCACTGTTCGTTTGATTTACACACACACACACAGCTGACAACAACTTTATTTGCCTTAGTCTACAACAAGTACAACATTAAAATCTCCACAATATTGTTTATAAACAATTGGCACGTACTTATTTTTGAAACTAGTTACTTAATTATTTACGAATGGAATACCCAGTTTTTGCTGAGAGACGTTTACGTTTTTCAACCTCAGCTTCAATTCCGCCCAATCCTCCAGAAATCTAAAACGAAGAAGCGCATTTTAAATACACGCACCGCGTGCCAAACTTACTGTCTTAAAGATTCCGCGTCGGTATCGCCTACGTTGGTGTTTCGCTTCCCGAAACCGCGCGCGACTGGTATGTTCATCTCTTGTAAGCCGCGCAGAGCTCGTCCGACCAATTCTCTGTCGGGTGGCGATTTTTGTCTGCTGTAAATATTCATCAATGAATCATTTATACGAAAAAAAAAATAAAAAAAATTGGTGTTCGAAAACTAGTCAGGGGGTCAAAGATGGTCAAACCTTGCAAATTTTCCTGGTCGATTTTCGGGAAAACACTTTCTTATAAATTTGATGCGTAGAATCCAAAACGATTTGTATTTTTTCGCTTAGACCGCTCAATCAAAAGTTATGGGCAAAAAACCAAATTCGAAAAAAATTCAAGGGGCTGTAACTTTTGATCTAGTAGTCCAATTTTCAAACCGTTTGAAGTTATGGATTCTATAGGCCAAAATCTATAAGAAAGTGTTTTTTCCCGGTCGATTTCAAACAAATCATTTTTCCGACCCAAAAAATAGGCAAGTGTATAACCTTGCTTTTTGCTGAAAATCGACCACTTCAAAAATTTTCGGGAAAACACTTTTTCTTATAAATTTTGATGCGTAGAATTAAAAATGATTTGTATTTTTTCGCTTAGACCTCTCAATCAAAAGTTATGGGCAAAAAACCAAATTCGAAAAAAATTCAAGGGGCTGTAACTTTTGATCTAGTAGCCCAATCTTCAAACCGTTTGAAGTTATGGATTCTACAGGCCAAAATCTATAAGAAAATGTTTTTCCTTGTCGTTTTCAGACATTTCATTTTTCCGACGAAAAATGGACTACCCCAAAAATGTTCGGGAAAACACTTTTTCTTATTCATTTAGCTGCGTAGATTCCAAAACGTCTCGTACTTTGTCGATTGGACCTCCGAATCAAAAGTTATAGACAACTTCGAATTCTTGATATTCTTCAAAATCTTAAGACTTTGGATTTATCAGGTTCTTTGGCCCTTTGAATTCCTACGTTTCTTCGAATTTTCCGGATTATTCTGTTTTTTCATTCGTTTAAGATCCTTGGCATTTTTAGTTTTTCAAATTGCCTTCGTTTCTTAATTTTCTTTGCATTATTTTATACGTATTAACTCTTCAAATTCTTCAAATGAATAAAAAATTTTCAGTTTTTGAATTTGCTAAATTGCTCAGTATTTCTTTATTTTTTGGATTCTCCCATTTGTGCGATTCTTCAAATTCTTGAAATCAGTATACTCTTCGAATTCTTTAAATTGTGCATTTTTTTAAATATTGAGATTTTTGAAAATCTTAATCTGTCCTTCCTTTTCTTCGAATTCCTTCAATTGTTCTTTTTGGATGTTTTAGATTCTTCAGCTTCTCCAGAATCTGCGTTCTTCACTTTCATCTTTTCGTGTTCTTGGGCAATTTTGTATTTTTTTCACTTTCCGTTCTTTCGAATTCTTCAGATTACCCAAATTCGTCCAATCATTCGTCACATGCAACAATAATCTCGGGATTTTTTATTTAGTCAATTTACGAACGCTTTCCCTTTGTATTTTTCATATCTCTTACAGAACATTAATGTTTTCCAAAGCTTTCAAAATCTTCAAATTCTACAAATGGAACAATTCCGTTTTTCGAATACTTTCATTTGCTCTCCTTGTACTCCTGCACGGAGATCCATCACTCAAATTTTACCATTTTTCAAAAATGTACAGATTCTTCAACCCCCAGATCCCCCGGTACTACATACGGAATACCCCCCACACTACGATGTTTTCATTGGTATCGGTATACGAAGCATTTCGTGATAGTGATGATTGTAGAAAAAGAGACAACTAGTAGTTTTCGTTTCCTGGATCCCCGGGTGCTGTATTCTCCCCCAAGTGTTTACCGTTACCAATCACATAAAAATTTGAGAGAAAAGGCGATCGAACTTGGCACCACGTTCCGGCGGAGTATGGAATGTTCCTCATAAAAGAAGGTCCGATGGTCTCTTTTGAACGTATCACTAGAGCCACTTTCGAGGCTTAGAGTTTAAGCAAAAACGTAACACCAGGGGAGGGGGTGTCTCCCCAGCATACGAAATTTTCATTCGTATGGGTATAATAATCATTTCGTGATAGTAATGATTGTAGAATAAGGGACAACTAGCAGTTTTCGTTTACTGGGGGGTATCCTCAGACCCCCCGGTACTACGTTCTTCGCAAGAGTTAAATTCTCTCGCCCTCCCCCTCGCTTTTTCATAGTCTGCAAATTCTGTAAGATTTATTTGGTATTCTTTTGTGTTTTCGACTTGAGATTCTCCAAATTCGTTATATACTCATACATTGTGAAATTTCTAGGATTCTTTCGGTTTTTTAAATTCTCCCGTTTCCAATAACGCATTGGAAGGAGGAGAACATTTCCGAACGGTCTCCCAATTATTATCTCCTGGATAGCAGGCGAAATAAGAAGGTGGCAACTATCGCTTCCCTGACCACCCCATCATGGTGTGCCACAGCGATCGATTTTAGGACCACTGCTCCGGAATGTCACACACGAGCATCGATCGAACTAGAAAAAGTTTCACGCCACGCGGACCAATACACCGTGGCGTATTTGTTGGTGTTGGTGGTGGTTGCGGTGGAGAAATGAGGAGTGGGGGAGGGGTTTCTGTTATTATTTTCCATTAAAGGAGACAGTCTTTACGTATATTTAGAGTTAGGTAAGCATATCGATTTTGTTTCAAGGCGTTGAAAGTGGCGTAAAACGCAAATGTCAACGTTAGAATTACAAAAGCTCAATGGCTTTCAATAAAAAAAAAACATAAAAACGTGAACTTCGCAACTTACTTCTGAAGAATATGCATGCCCAAGGCACGTTTCCCAAATCCGCGCGTGACGCCTAATTCCAGTTCTTGAAATTCCCTCGGCGGGGGTAGTTGTCTGTAGCGTTTCGTTTGAACCGTCGTCAAAAAAATGACAACCACAAATACGCAGAGTAGAAACATGTTACTTTGTGCCATTCTGAAAACGAAAAGTATTTTTAGAATCGATCCTAAAATATTGTATTGAAACCGGTTAAGTGAACTCTCAGTTCGAATAGGATTTCATTTTGTCTAAATTTGGTTGTTAATAACGACTGTTTGTAGTAAAAAATCCTCATCTGCATTTCTGGTTACTTATGTCGATCTCTGTGAATCTTAATTTTTGGAACCGCAAACCCAAAGTTAATAATGAAGGAAAATTGGCTGAACAATGGCTCATTGATGCAATACCGATATTGTAAAAATAAATTGTTCTAAATGAATATTCTATGAATTAGCACGACACGGAGAATTCTCATTGCAAATTTCTGACGTACATGTGGTGGTTTCCAAGATCGAGAATTTCTACTTTTGATACATAGAGGATTTTAAATCTCCCGACATCCCAAAATGTTTACATTTTTTATTAGGTACACCTATACATTCAATAAAAATTCCCTGTATATGCGACGTTTGTTTTTATTGGACGCAGTTATGGTTACAATGTCAAAAAATATCTAAGTAGCATTGCATATAATCTGCATTGCACCTTTGATTATTCATTATCTAGGTTCTGTCTGCAGAGGGGCGAGCAATGTATTAATTGGGAACTCGAAGAAATGTCAAACATATCTCATTGATCTACTGCAAAGGGAACCGTTAAGTGATCTGCAAATGCTAGGATATAATGCATCCACTCCTTTGTCACATCTGTGGAGAGCCCTTCCACGTCCAAGTTGGCGATCATTGTCACTTTTCGGGCCGTTTTCGCGGGAATGCCCACCAATCATGCAATTTGTGATATTAAGTACCCGATATGATACTCCTATTTTTCCACAACTTTAGTGGATACGACAGTCACTGTTTTATTAAGGATATTGCTCAATATATTCCGGGGAAAGTCACGCTGTTACCTAAGAATCAGGGAAAATACATTTCGTTTACTAAGAAAAGTAGATTCTAATCGTTTCATGAGCGAATCATTAGATATCTAGCTAAACGTAATAAAATTGATATTGCGCAATGTGCGCATGCGCAAATAGGATTTTTACAATATGCGATATGTTTGTCTTTACTAACATTTCAACAAAATATCTCATACCGAAAAGGTTCTTGTGGGAGATCCACGAAGCGCGGAAATTGACAAAGAATGCAGCGAACTTTTACCAAACAAAATTGAATCTTGAAATTTTTTTCTTCATCTTATAATGTAAATTTAATTACACGATTTATGTACAATTAATTATTAAAATTCACAGAAATTAAAACGGTCTTTCCGTAAATTGATTTATACATCAGGTAAATTATTATTTATCACACATTTATAGCACGAGCGAGGATTTCACTATTTATGACTTCGCCATCGAGTCGATATCGGCTTAGAAAATTCACTACAATCTAGATTTTATTCATTTGCATGACAATAAATTGATTTTTTGTGCTTAACGTGTTGTTTTTTATGGCAGAGGTAGGTTAACGTGCCCCATACAGTAGTATTAATGCAAGGAGAACACTTGGGTGGAAAGTCAGTGTTTCTAAATAAAACCCAGTAAGTATATTAAAGTTTATTTTTGTTTCCCCAAGATTTTTTTGTGACGGGATTAAATAGACTAGGGAGACGTCAATTAAAAGCGTTTCTTGTGGCGAAAAAATATGTTGTAGGTGTCATATAGGAATATTTTCAGGTATGAAACTCGCGTATTTAATCCTCAGACATCGCAAAACTTTTTAGGCCGATTATAAACTTTCGAATTACTTTTACATTTGCAAAATCATTTTTAACGTCTCCCGCTACGCGAGCGGCGAGCCGTAAAAACAAGACCTGGGGAAGTAAGGTCATAAAACTGATGAAAATGGATGTAGCACCCCCCATTTCTATTCATTGAGAAATATTAAACCCGAGCGAAAGATACATTCCTCAAATTGAAAGGGGTGACGCTAATTCTTAGGTGCTTGCGTCTCGAACTGGCCGAAATCAAACGCCACCCCCTGAAGCGTTCGCAGTGAAAAGCGGCTAAAGTTTTTTCAGTGTTAGTGCAATTCGCGGCTTATCGGTTAGGCCGTCACGTCAATATTTGCTCAGTTTTAGGGGGAAAGAGAGTTTTTCTGGCCAAAGAAATGTAAACAAGGTGAATGAGTATCATGTAAAATATCGAGGTTCATTCATCTTATCAAATTGTCAGTTTTTGCAAATTTAATAATCGGCCCCAGCTAACGACAAAATGAAACGTCAACATTGGGATTATTAACATTTCTACGCAGAATTGATGTAAAAAGCATATACAGGGTGTTACACGACCGTTCGAAAAAAAAAATCGGGTTGTAGAGGGCATCAAAACAAGCACTTTTTCCAAATAAATCGAGGGTCCAACGTGTTTCGTTTGGGAGCCACCCCCCAAAGAGAGTTGAAATCTGCATTTCTTCTTTAATTTTTTTCTCAGCAACCATAAGAGTTACAAAGTCGGGTGGCATGTCTTTGAATAGGTTTTTGGGTGTGCTCTTTCCGATTTTGCAATTTTTTTTTCAAAATTCCTACCCCTAAAGGGCGCACCCCTAAACTAGTGTGCAAAAAAAAATTCTGATTTCGACGAAATTTGGTATCTGGGGGTTTTTTAACATGAAAATCACGAATCTGAAATTAGTTTTTGAAAATTCGAAAAAAAAAGTTCCACTGCAATTCTTGGCGGGACAACGAAAATAGAGATAATTCCACGAAATTTGTTGTGTACATACTAAACGAGTTAAGGAACAAAACTGTCGAACAGTTTTTTAATATAACTTTTCAAACAAAAGTTATACTCATTTGAATGTTGGTCCTTCGGGTCGCGAAGTGTCCCAAGCCTACTAGTAAGCCATAATTTCGCATTGTGTTGGTTGACAATGTCGCAAAAACAAAAGATTAACGGTTTGAGTCGATATTTTGTTATTTGGAATTAATTCGGTCATTAAATGATTAAAAAATTCGATGTATCGATTAAAACACCTACCAAGGTATCTTAAAGCGCTGATTTGTCCTTAAAAGGAGCGTGTTCTTTTGGAAGTTATTTTTCAACCTAAGATTATGAAAATTTTTGATCATAGTGAAAAAGTATCATACGGAAAGTGATTTGACTTTTTCCCCTACCTTATTTAGATAATAAACAATCGATCAGCGCTTTAAGATACCTTGGTAGGTGTTTTAATCGATACATCGAATTTTTTAATCATTTCATGACCGAATTAATTCCAAATAACAAAATATCGACTCAAACCGTTAATCTTTTGTTTTTGCGACATTGTCAACCAACACATGCGAAATTATGGCTTACTAGTATGCTTGGGACACTTCGCGACCCGAAGGACCAACATTCAAATGAGTATAACTTTTGTTTGAAAAGTTATTTTAAAAAACTGTTCGACAGTTTTGTTCTTTAACTCGTTTAGTATGTACACAACAAATTTCGTGGAATTATCTCTATTTTCGTTGTCCCGCCAAGAATTGCAGTGGAACTTTTTTTTTCGAATTTTCAAAAACTAATTTCTGATTCGTGATTTTCATGTTAAAAAAACCCCAGATACCAAATTTCGTCGAAATCAGAATTTTTTTTTGCACCCTAGTTTAGGGGTGCGCCCTTTAGGGGTGCGCCCTTTAGGGGTAGGAATTTTGAAAAAAAAATTGCAAAATCGGAAAGAGCATACCCAAAAACCTATTCAAAGACATGCCACCCGACTTTATAACTCTTATGGTTGCTGAGAAAAAAATTAAAGAAGAAATGCAGATTTCAACACTCTTTGGGGGGTGGCTCCCAAACGAAACACGTTGGACCCACGGTTTATTTGGAAAAAGTGCTTGTTTTGATGCCCTCTACAACCCGATTTTTTTTTTTCGAACGGTCGTGTAACACCCTGTATTTCGACATAATTGGATAGAAACAGCCTCTTCCAGCATCTTTAATGTAGGTAGTGAGAAATTGCAACAAACAAATATCGATTACTGCCGTGGTACCACGCACTATGTTATGTTTATCAGACAGACTCGGTCGATGATTCGTTTTTTATGTACCTAATTATTGCTTTTATTTAAATTTAAAAGACATTGTAAAATGATAAAAGTGAATCAGGTGTTTTTCGTATCCTTACAGGTTTGATTTTCGTGTAAAAGGGACATCAAAATAATTGATCACATTTTGTTTACCAGATAAGAATAATAAGTATGTGGATAGCACTTGTTTATAAACGACTGTTTGGAGGATTTATTAAGGGGCGTTTCTCTTGTGTCGACATGCAGGCTGCATTCGTTTATCTACCCCCCTACTTTTAATAGTACCATTGCATCCAGGAAGGGATTGAGGTTAATTTTGAGAGGCCTGTGTTCTGGGATGTGTCCCTCAACTTGGTGCTTCCTGGAGCTATCGTGGTCCGTGCCACAACAACTCACTTGTGCGGGGCTTAGTCAAAGTTGTGCCTCGAGAAATCAGGTCGGCTGGATTATCCTCTGACTTAACATGGTTCTAGATGGTTTTGTCGGCCACGCTAATTCTGTTCCCCGCCAAATTATTGTATTTTTTCGGGGCTATCCTTGATCCACGGAGCCTGAACATGCGAATGTTTGAATGCTTCCCAGGTTGGAGCTTTTGTTTTCGTTCCTGTTAAGAGCTTGGTCGCTAGGACTGCTCCTCGGAGCTCGAACCGCGGTAGGGTATTCTTCATCGATATTTTTATTTGCCCATTTGCACACAGTACCCTGCTTCACGGCGCCGTTGGCCCTTACTAAGGCGTCACAGAAGACATGAAGCTCAATGGTTACTTTCCCGTCATAGTAGATCCATCTTGGGATTAGATCTTCCCTACTTGCGTGAGATCTACTTATTCATTAACCGGGTTTGAAGTTTCTCGTCCCACTCAATGGATTATGTTCAAAGTTCTGGTTGCTAGTAGGGTAGTGGGCAATATAATCTTGCGATCTGGGATCTTTGTTTGGTAAATCTACTTTGAACCGAAAGACATCTTGGATCGGCGCCT